GAGAAGATAAACGGGAAGGCACAAAACTCACCCGATGCTTGATAAAATCGGGTGAGAGAAGGTTCGTTGTACGCGTTTTTATGTCGGGCGAATCCGATTATGAAGTCGGATTTGGAGGGCAGTCAGTCGATTGAGAGGTTAGTAGAAAAGAGAGTGCGCGGAGGTGCCGAAGGTAGACATGGCAGGGATAGGAAAAGAGAGAGTTCACTCGATATTGCACGGAATCACGTGAACCAAAGGGCAATCCTGGGGTTTTGACCCCGGGCGAGTTAGATGGTAAGGTTAGTTTGAGTAAAAAGTTAGTAGGTTTGGAGTTAGAAGAGAGAGTGAACCTAGACTGAAAAGTGTGTCGGGTACATTCGGTAAGGAGAAGAGCTATGGTAAGGGAAAAAGGGGTCGTACTCGTTCGTTTTACAATGGAGTTTGGCAGATTAAAAACCAAATTTGTGCTTTCTAGGAAGGCTGATCAGTTAGTATTGTTAATTTCAGTAACGAGAAAGTAAGCCGGAGGAGATATATAGGGATTACCTACTGTTGTGTCCTTTGTGATCTCGACTGTCGTCGTCGCGATCCAGTGGGCATCATCGGCATACGAGTTCCCACCGACGTTGGTGAGAAGGCACGAACCTGGCTGAAGAGTCGGCCAGGTGCATGAGAGGCGATGGGTAACGGGTGTACGTACGAGTGCATACGTATGTGTGTGTGGGCGTAAGAGAGCGGGAGAGAAACACCACTAACCTGGTCCGATTGTGTCTGCAATAGAACAGGCGCTACAACAGGCACCACCAGCGGGTGTATATTCCCACGTCCCGGTGGTAGATCCATGCGATTTTGTCTATTCTATCAAGAAAGTAGCGGGGAGTGAGCCATCGGATTGGATATTTACCTGTTGATCGATGGGTTCGGGCGGAAATGCCAAGCTGGAAGGCAGTGTATATTTTCGTGTTCTAGGCCAAGGCTCGTTCAATCGCTGTCCTTGGCCTGGTGTGTATGGCAATTCAGACTCTCTTTGTGGTGGAGCTATTCGCTGCAGCTCTGGGGTTTGTCTAAGCGATAGTACTCATTCCGACAATGATCACCCCGAATTTTATACGTATCTGGACAAGATTTTGACCCGGTTCGGAGAAGCTAAGTAAGGACAATGATGAGAGGAACAGAGCAAGACCTACCCGCATATGAACAACGGGAACGCGGTGGTTTTGGGATCTGGCAGCGAAGGGTAAGCGGTGCTGTCGGGCTAATGAGCTGCTGTGTGTTGGGCAGTCTGACCACTGCGATACCCATTGTTGCGCCTTGGCCGTATGAACGACTGTGTTACTTCGACGACGTTGCTGCTACAGCAGCTGCTGCTGCTGTTATGGACGGTTGTACTGTTGCTGGTACAATTGCGAGGCCTACCGTGGGCTTGCTATGTTGTTGAACCTGCTTCATCCCCACTATGTAACGCGGAGGTGATTGCCGTGTGCTGCAGATCATTGAAAGCTAGGGGGGTGTTACTGATTGGAGGAAGAATGACTGTGGGGCAACATTGTGCCTAGTATCATTCACTGTTGAGGTGCGCTGTTGTTGCGAACGGCTGTTGAGCACACTATTTTTCTGTTGAGTCCTCCCAGGGTTCGTTTACGTATCGAATGGAGCACATGAGTGCACCCATCTTAGGCTGTGTGACATCAGTTTGGTAAGAAGTGATGACATTGTAGTTTGGGAAGTAACTAGGTTCTACAAAGGAGGTTGCCACTGCAATTTGGAAGTTCGTCAGGAGGAACTATTTCAGCAGGTTGACTTAGTTCGACCGACGGTTGCGCCTTGCGTTGGCCATCATTGTGGGACCCTTAGGCGAATCAGGATAACAAGGCCCTCTCCCGCGAGTTTGAATACACCATTCTTAGATCTGAGAGTCTCAAAGCTTCTCCTTCTGCCCTTCTTCTTCTAAGTCTAGTCTATTGGTTCAGAGAGGAAGGCGGCAGGCGGGATTGCAACCCGTAATCCGTGCCAAGGCCTCTGTGGGAGGTTGCCCCACCGATTGCAGGAGCTCTGCCGGGATTCAGGAGGAGTTATGGAGGCAGGAAACTGAAAGGTAGCCATTTGCTTTCCTTCTATGAACCCAACTATAATCCATTTTTGTACATCTTTCTAATGTGTGATTGAGTATACTGCATGCACCCCTACTTTGGCCTTTAGTTTGACTTTCAAGATACAACTCAGAATAAGTAAAGGAATGCGTGTGCAATCGCAATTTCAGTTTTTTGTTGGTCTGAAAGCAGATTGTAATAAGGGATTGCATCAGGGGGAAGGTTGGGGGAAAGGTGGTTTTGCTTGATATTCGAAGGGTCTTATAGGGTCAGGCATGGTTCCATAAGTTTGGATAGCCTGACTCCTATGTTTATTCTGTGTTATGAAAAGACCAAGCTTTGTTTCTAAGATGAATGGCTTGGCCGTTGTTAGGAATGTCACGCGGGGACCCCCGGGGGCGAAGCCAGGGTGGTGGTTGCCCCCCCGGAGCCCCGGGTCCGGGGTCCCTGACCGCCGCCACAGGCCCCGACACCCCCGCCACCGCCCGACCCCGGCGACCCCCGCCACCAACCCTGCTACACCGCCCCGGAACCCCGCAGCACCGGCCCAGAACCCCGCCAGACCGGCCCGGAACCCCACAGCGAACCCCGTCCAGGCAACCCCGACCCCCGCCACCCCGGCGGGCCACCGCAGGCGCTGTCCCCGCACTACACCACCGCTCCCCGCCGTGCGACCCCGCACCCCGACCACCGGCGCCCTACCCCCGCCACCGGCACCGCTACCCCGCAACCCCGGCCTGACCCCGACCCCGCGCTCCGACCCCCGCCACCGGCCGACCAACCCCACGGCCGCGCACCACTGCACCCGTGGACCCCCCAACACCGCACCCCGCATCCCGTATCCCCCACCCGTTACCCCGCAGCCCCGCATCCCGCAGCCCGCAGCTCCGCATCCCGCACCCCGTTCCCCGCACCTGGCACCC